CTGCTGTAGCTGAACCCAGGACACCTGAGCACAGGTGTTGTAGATGCTGAGTGTAATGGAAACTGAAACAAAAGGCTATGTGTCTGCCTTTAGACTGATAAGAGGCTTAAAAGATTTTTCCCACTTACTGGTAAGGAGCTTGGTGTAGATGCATTTTTCTGTTTGTGCTTCCTGTACAAGGTATGAAAACAGGAAGTGTCATGTCTGAGTAGGAGGATTTTTCTGTTGCTACAGCTGGTTGGCTAAATGCTGTTGTTGTTTAACTTCGTCAGATGTGTACCTGAAATATAGGATATTATCTTCCAGGTATATTGCAAACACAGTCATCAGAGTAGCCATATGCTCTTTATTTTCAGCATGTGTAACAAAAAGACTAGTCCTAAATATGACAGAAAACACCTATTAGCCAGGCTTAGCTTTAATTTGGGACCTTGGATGCTATCTAATATTTGCCCTCCAGATAAACCATGCGGAGCATGAGGAAGTTATCTTCCATAATGCTTTTGGGCTGCATGTGTGGGCTTTCCTACATGACAGATTCTTCTCCCACTCTGAAACTTCTAGTTTTGCATTTGTCTTGGACTTTGGCACTATCAATTGATAACGTTTTCACAAACTGAGGGAGGCTGGAACTGGAAGGTCTACAATGAGCAACAGATCCAGTGAAGGGACAGTGGGTTTGTTCTCTCTGTGCTGTACATTCTGGTGGCACTGGGTTATCTTGAGGGGGAAGTTACTACAGGTCTGGTAGTGGAACTTGAAGGTAAGAGGATGTAAAAAGTTAACCAAGCTATTTGGGTACTAGTCGTCTGATTTCTAAATATTTTAATGAAAATGATTGATTTGAGCTCACAGAGAGTGAAAAACACTTAGGAGACAATATCCCGTTCCTCCCCCCTCCTCACCCCAACAAGTTCCTCTTGATGTGAAAATGAAACTTAAGTTGGAAAGACAACTTAAGACAAGTTGGCCTTTATGTAGGTGGGAGAACCCTTCCTGCTCTGGATGAGTAGTGCAGCTGAATAAAAATACACTTGACCCCTTCTGTGTGATGACTGCCTGCAGACTGAAATGCTTTGCTTTTTCTCTGAAGGAAGGTTATGGCATTGGGGATGATGAATACTCCTGTGCCTACGATGGCTGCCGGCAGCTGATTTGGTATAATGCCAGAAGTAAACCACATTCCCATCCCTGTTGGAAAGAAGGTATTCAGTCCATCTTCTGCTGTATGTCCTAGCTGGATTTCTGCACAGGATGTGCAGGTGTCTAGAAGGCAGTTTGTTAGTAGGTGTGAACAGAGCAGTTACTGCCTAATCCCGATGATACCGGAAGTTTAATAATTATTGTGCCTTTGCTAGTATTTGCAGTGGTTTAAATGTACAAAGTCGGCCCCACTCTCTTGCTCCACAGTCTGTTTAAAGAGAACCTGTTGGTTAAATGCTTTTTCTTTTAATGGGCAGGGTACAAATCATAACACCAGCTAACACTGCTGGACATTTAATCATAAGGCTTCTGTCCAGATGTTTGTAATCCTACAAAACAGGTTTGAAATCTTCCCTTCTGGGTTGCAGGAGTTATTTTAGAGAAGGGAAAAAAATCCAAACCCTGATCTCTGAATTAGACTTTGTTTGAAGGAGGCGTTGCACTGTCTTGCTTACTTTAAATTCTTGGATAACTACTTGGACAGCAAAGTTCTGTTCTTGATCTCAGCTTTGAAGTCTTGGTAGGAGTCTACATGCCATGCTTATGTGAACTGTGCTATCTTCTCTTCTATTAAAAACTTCTCCCAAGGATGGCTAAATTAAAATACTTCTTAAATAGCACAAGCATGTTAGAAACTTAAATTTTGACGAGTATGTGTTCTGAGGATATTCTCAACAGGTGTAAACAGCCAGGGAGAGACAGAGTGCGGCTTTTTTCTGGCTTTGGCAAATACTCTGCAATACTTCTACAACTGTGTAGTATTAATGCTCTGGCAGACTAAAATATTTTAATTTTTTACTATTTTCTCCTGGTTTTAGCTGTCTATCAATTTTCTTCTGTCAGTGTTTCTTCCCATATGCTTTTGCAAACAATTCCTTTTAAGTGAGACAACGCATAGTGAGGTTATGTGGTGTTTAAAACAATAACTGCTTCAGCTGTTGGCATTTAACAACTGAAATCTTTCTTTGCTTTGCATGAAAGGAGACACAATAGGATTTCTACTAGACTTGCACGAAAAGCATATGATCTTCTATTTAAATGGAAACCATTGAGAAGCAAGTATTTTCATCTGCTATGTAAGTATGTGCTCACTTGGAAGGGCAGTGACCTGCACAATAATTGTTTTAATTACACAAAATGTTTCCAATTTCAGATGTACATTCATATTTGCTTACTTGAAGCCATCATTAAGCAGGTTTCCCAATTGAAAGCTGCTTAGAAATCAGAGAGAAGGATATAATTTTACAGGTGGATTTCGGGGTCCAAAATAAATACTTTGAACTTTCCAAAGGTAGGCTCAACTTGATGTTTTGACTGTCAAACTACCACAGCACTGAAATAGGATGAGGCTGTAGCAAAGATGAACATACTTCTAGAAGTCCTCAAGGAATTTTTTCTTTAAAAAAAAAAAAGTAAATAAAAAAAAATAAAGCCTCAGTCCTGCAAGTGCTGCAGAATGTCTCTTTACTTACTGCTGCTCACTGAGGCCAGTTCCTGCAGTAGCATATTGCATATTCATGGCAGGATGTCTCTTGGTATCATTACAGCAAGGTGTTAGGCTTATTTTGACAGCTCTGTTAAAATTAACACATGGCCAACTCCTGACACTCATGGAGAAGTTCAGCCTTTTAGTTCTGAAAAGATAAGATGGTGTGATACTTGAGAAAGAAGCTTCTTGTGGAGCTTAACTAACCATTACAGTACTATGTAAAGTAATATCACTGAGCTAATAATTTCATTCATGTTTTCTCCTTAAAATTAAGTTCAAGATGCAAGCAAAGAATAGTTCAGTTTAAAGAGTTGCAGAGTATCTTGTCTATTCAACTTGGAGTTCTTCAAGTGGAATATGTCATTTATATACACAACAGATTCTGCTACTTGGTTAGAACTTCAGGTATTACTCGACTCAGGCCCTTTCAGTAAATAAAACTGAAAGAGGTGATAGTTGTGGTGTTTTTACAAGGTGGCTGCAAAGAAAAGACAGCTATTCCGAGGTAGTCCTGCAAGGGCAAGGAGGAGCAGATGGGCATTGTGCTAAGAGTGCTCAGGCCTGGATTCATCCTATACAAGTCCCACACAAGTGTATGGGCATTGCAAACTCTTCAGGTTCCTGCCTGCTCAAATAAAGCAGAGGGCGCAGTGGATATGGAGGTGTCCCTTGCAGCTGGTACTGCCTCTCACAGCTCTGCTAAAAAGCAGTTGTTTGGAAGAAAAATACTTTTTTACAGCGCTGAAGGAGATATCTGAGCTGATCAGTGTAAAGAGGATCGGGCTGTAGGCTGTTCAGATGGATGTATCTGCTCTTAATGTAAGTGTGACTAATCTTAACTGTAGAGTAGGCAGCCTTTATTGGCTGACTCAAAGTAAATTCAGGTAAACTCTGATGGTAAATTCAGAAGCTGAGAACTAAACAAGGTGAACATGTGCAGCTGTAATTGGGTGTGTTAGAGGCTTTTCTTGCAATTAGCTGTAGAACTTCCTATTGAAGGAACTTGTGTCTTTGTTTCAGGGTGTATTTTTGTCTGGTAACAGTAGTAACATGCCTGGAAAGCTCTTCTATTGTTTGTTATTCTAAAATGTCTATTCCTCATATTGCAGATCTGGCTTTTTTGCTGCAGCTAGTTTCATGTCCTATCAACAATGTGAGTTCAACTTTGGGGCAAAACCTTTCAAGTACCCACCATCAATGAAGTTTAGTACCTTTAATGATTATGCATTTCTGACAGCAGAAGAGAAGATCATTTTGCCCAGGTAATCCTGTCTAGTTTGAGTGTGTTTGCATATGGAGGAAGTCCAGAGGAGGGCCACAAGGATAAGAGGGCTAGAGCACCTCCCATATGAAGACAGACTGAGAAAGTTGGGGCTGTTCAGCCTGGAAAAGAGAAGACTGCATGGAGACCTCATAGCAGACTTCCAGTGTCTGAAGGGGGCCTATAACGATGATGGGGAGGGAATCTTTGTTAGGCACTGTAGTGGTAGGAAAGGGGTGAGGGGTTCAAACTTAAACAGGGGAAGTTTAGATTAGATATAAGGAAGAAATTTTTTATAGTGAGGGTGGTGAGGCACTGGAATGGATTGCCCAAGGAAGTTGTGAATGCTCCAACCCTGGCGGTGTTCAAAGCGAGGTTGGATGGAGTCATGGGTGACATGGTTTAGTGCGAGGTGTCCCTGCTCATGGCAGGGGGGTTGGAACTAGATGATCTTAAGGTCCTTTTCAACCCAAACCATTCTATGATTCTATGGAGAAATAAAATGCTTAGCTTTCAAGTTGCATAGTCTTTATGTTGTATTTGCCAATGTTAATCTTACAGAGTCACACCTCCATAGGTCTCCTTTAGAAAAGGCTCCAGTGCAACTTAATGAGAAGGATGGAAGTTACACAACCAAAATCCATTAAAATACAAAAAAAAAAAAAAAGCTAAATTCAAGTCATCTAGTACTGTACAGTAAACTTCTTAGTAAAAATGCCTCTTGCTGTCTAAGAATTATAAGGTTGGTCGAGGTGGTATAGTCCTAATTAAAAAGAGATGTCGTATTTAAAATTGACCTAATTTATGATGTTGGTAGCATAGAGGTACTGAATGATTGTAAGTCTCTTAAGTTGTCCTTTTCTGATCCAGATCATAATGGAAAGGATTGAAGTTACACAACCAAAATCCATTAAAAAACAAAAAAAAAAAAAAAGCTAAATTCAAGTCATCTAGTACTGTACAGTAAACTTCTTAGTAAAAATGCCTCTTGCTGTCTAAGAATTATAAGGTTGGTCGAGGTGGTATAGTCCTAATTAAAAAGAGATGTCGTATTTAAAATTGACCTAATTTATGATGTTGGTAGCATAGAGGTACTGAATGATTGTAAGTCTCTTAAGTTGTCCTTTTCTGATCCAGATGAAAATGTCCACGTTTGTGAATGACAGTACTGACAAACGTTATTCAGATTTAGAAGTTTCCCTAAACATAAATCAAGCCAGATAAAAACAGGTTTGGATACATTCTTCCTTAACTTACCAAATTTCTGGCAGGAATGAAAACTAATAGGTTTTCTGGTTTAGGTTGTTAGTAATGAAATAACTTACTGGAACATAAGCAATGTACATAGTACATAGTGTAATCTGGGATCCAGTGTACCCCAAATTTGCCACTTGGATTAAAGCACCACCTCTAGAGTGGTGCTGAGGTTTGTGGTTGGTGGGGGGAAAAGTTCTGTTGTTACACCTAATGAAATGTAGCTCATCCAGTTCCAACCCCCTGGAGAGAAACTGGGGGAAGCTGGTTTCCTGTTGATGCCTGATAGGAAGAACTTGGCTTCTTGTGACAGAGCCTATTTACTATGTGATAGCACTGAAGGATTCCATTAAAGGTGGGACACTTGTTCTTTGTCCCTGCTCTACAGCCTGAACTGTTTGGAAACTATAAACCAATCCTAAATTAAAATATAGTGTTGATCTTAAAAGTGATGGGGGGTGGGGGGGAGCAAGGGCCTGAGTGGACCCTAGTTATCCATCACAGGACTTAACATAAACTCATGTAGAGTTGTGCTGAATTTAATGTGTCCAGTGTTGGGTTATAGTCTGGGCTAGACACTCACCTTGCCATTGAACAGTTTTAATTGTGTAATGTGTGTGTTCCACATCTGAAATGTCTTATTTCACCAAAGGGGGGATTTTCTTCCATTTACTCAACCCTGGGCTGTTGGTTTTATTTTCAATATCTATTGTTTTAAACTGTTACATCATTGTAAGGTTTCTGAATTTTGTTGATACAAGGGTTTGTGTGGTTTATTTGTGGATTTTTTTTTTCCTTAACTCATAAAAGTACTTAGATACTAAAGAACAATTTATTTGAAGTGTTCAGCTCTCTTTGTCCCCTTCTGACAGATCAAAATAGGGAGTTGAACACTGTTTCAAACATCTCTGAGTGTGTAGAACTTTTTTTGGTTTTGGGGGGAAGTTATGATTGATGTTTATAAGCAGTAGTGTTGCGTAGCACAGGAAAGTGTTGCATTGGTCTTGATGCAACAGTCAGAATAAATGTGAATCTGTTGTTTTGAGTCAAATTAATGGGGTGGTATCTCCTTCAGACACAGGCGTCTGGCTTTGTTGAAGCAAGTGAGTATCCGAGAGAACTGCTGCACACTTTGCTGTGATGAGGTAGCAGACACGGAACTCAGGCCATGTGGACACAGGTAAAACCTTAAAAACAACTCAAAACCAAATAAACAGGGAAAATGTGTGTGTTTGACATTCAGCTTAGGTGAAATCAGATGCAGTCCCCACTTACCTTGATTGACTCCCAAGTGCCCAGCAAATAACTCCTCTTCTTCCAGATATGACACACGGAGGTTAAGCATAGCATTCCCACTGTTTCCCTCACTATATACCTGAGATACAATCCCTAACTGTGTGTGTCTGGGGTTGGGGAAGTACTGCAGCTATGTACATGTGCTACCCCTGGGCTACTGAGTCTTTATTCCCTGATAGCAAAGGCTTATTTAGAAACCTAGCATGGCTTGGGTTGAAAGGGACCTTAAAGTTAATCTACTTCCAGCCTCCCTGTGATGGACAGGGACACCTTCCACTAGACCAGTGCTTGCTTAGTACTTATTTAGCACTGGTGCTGTGAAATCCAGATCAAACAAGGAGAGCAGAAAATTCATTATATGCTTAAATACTTATTAAATGTTCAACAAATGGATTGTCTCAAGTAACAAATTCCTCTAAGAGCTAAAAATGGGACAGCAGTGTGAGTAATCCGATAATAGCACTTTCCTGCCTTTAAGGAGCCTACTAGGAAACTAATTCATCTAAGTCCAGTTCCTTAGTGTTTTTAGAGCACTCACAGAAGCAGTCTTGCCACAGGTCTGGATGCTGGAAAGTTGAAAAGAGAAGAGATGTGCCCTCTGTGTGTCTACAAGAAGCGGTGACAGCCCTCCACAGGGCACTGGGACCACTGTTTTCCAGATCCAGTGTCCAGATGAACAAAGTGTAATCCCAACCAATGGCACAGGGTTTTTAAGATGCTGAGCAGCAGGAGCTCCTCTCAAAGCCTGTGGATCCACACCACCTGACTAGCAGTTCCTAATCTCTGTGCTGACAGACTTATCTTGAGTGCTTGTAGCAGGCTAACTAAACTGCTTAGTGACTGGTTTTTTTCTTGTTTTGTTGATTTTTTTTTTTTTTTTTTAAATATTTTATTCTCCCCCCCACACCCCCGCATGGTAAATGCAGGCTTTAACTTATATTTTTTTCTCCTGCAGTGACCTGTGTATGGAGTGTGCCTTGCAGCTGGAGACCTGCCCTTTGTGTCGACAGGAGATACAAACCCGAGTCAGACAGATCTCTCACATTTCATGACACGTGGAGAAATACCACAGACTTGTTTTCAGTGAATTCAAACCAATGCTGAAAGGGGAAAGAATCTCTGACCAATCTTTACGCACATAAAACCATAGCCACGGACAGATTTCATGCTAACCTTTTATCTGTTAATCTTAAAAATGAAATCTTTAATAAGCTATTTCAAGTTGCCAGCAATGGGAACTGGTTTCAAGAATAAGGAGAGCTGGTAGGTCAGCGTGCTATGGCTGTTGGTTCCTCCAAGCAAGACCATAGGAGAGTGTCTCTCTTCTTCCCCCTTTCCTTCTCGCCTGTCACAAGTGCTGAAAAAAATTTGCACTGGAAGTACACGTACAATGCATTTTAGAAAAGAAGAGCAAGTAAGTATCTCCTAAACCAGGGCTGTTCTGTCCTGTGCTCGAAAGTCTCTATTTTTGGCAAGTCAGTACTACAAAGAGAATGCCAATGTTTTCCTGTTCAATGTAGCCTCCTGCTGGTCAGAGACTCTGTATTTTCTGACAGTGGATATTAAACTGCTCGAAGACTTAATCTGTACGCAGGCTGATTTGAAAAGATGGTGTGGAGACCAGAGGGAAACTCACATTTTAATAACATGGTGATTCCAAAGAATGTTCTGATTTGTCTTTAACTGTTAAAAGATTTGTTGGTATTTTCAAGTTTCTGATGCTTTTAACTTCAGTACCCACATTTTTTTGTGAGTATATAATTTTCAGGAGGTATTCTTGACTAATTTTAACATTGGACTGGAATTAATTTGATATTCTGTGTATTTTTTAAGGTGTCAAACATCTTTTTTTAGTGAGTATTGGTTTTGAAAGTTATATTCACTTTCGAAATATTCAGCAATCTTAAAAGACTGGAGGAGAATTTGGGGCCAGTTTATTTAAAAAAATGTTATTTGGAGAGGAGGTTGGGTCTTACTCTGTAACTCTTTAAAAATGCACCTTGCTTGCCACATGTCAGCCCTGCTCTGAGCACATTTGGGGCCACACTTCATGTTTTTAGTAGGGATCACCCAGTGGGAATCTCTGTTCCACTTCAGTTACACACTTGTGACCTTTATATGTTAGGGATGCATTTCAGCAGGCAGCTCTTGAGTGTTTTACTAGGTTTCTAGAAGGAATTGGGGTTCATAGCTGGTGTCAGTGAAGCAGCACAAAACCCAGTGGAGTTATGCTTCTTGGCAGTGATTCAACAGCACAGTATGTTGCAGTGAATTCTCATGCTGTGATGTATCTTACCTTTAAAATCACTTATCTTTATTGTACTGTCAAGTAGTAACACAG